CTTCTTCAGCTGAAGCTTGAACAACTCCAACTGCTACAAGGATAAAGGGTCAGTTTATTACAAACTGTGTATCTGCTTTGTGCTTCTCGATCTTGGAATTCTCGTCTATTAGCGCTTCCGACCACCCAGAACGGCCCAAGGGGCTTCCAAGATAGCTCCAAGACAGCCCATGAGCCCCCCAAGAGGGCACCTAGTCCGCCCAAGAGGACTCCAAGATCGCCCAAGGGGCTCCCAGGAGTTCAGACTGCTCGGCCCGGTAGGGGTCGTGGCCCTCGGGCCCCTGGGCCACCAATTTGTGGAAGGGGTCGTGGCCCCCGGGCCCCTGGGCCCAGTCCCCCCTCATATATGTAATGTATACGCCGACGAAGAAGAGGAGGAGGAGGAGGAGGAGGAGGAGGCAGGAGGAGGAGGAGGAGGAGGAGGCAGGAGGAGGAGGAGGAGGAGGAGGAGGAGGAGGAGCAGGAGGAGGAGGAGGAGGAGGAGGAGGAGCAGGAGGGCGGGGAGCGGAGAGCGAGGCTGGGGAGGAGGAAAAAGGGAAGGTGAACAACAGACAGTGGATCATACCAAATCCTGTGACCCCGTCGCTGCTTGAAAGCCCCCAAAAAACTACGTACCCTGAGTCCACGCTACGTGAAGGATCACGTAAACTCAAGCCCTGGCAAATACAAAGAGGAACGGAGGAAGAATACGAGGAGGAGGAGGAGGAAGTGGGAAGGGGAACCCAAGCAGTGCACGAACGGATCAAACAGACCAGCAGTAGGCGCCCTGGCCGACCAGAAATCAAAGACGACTGCAACTGGACAGGAAAATGCAGGCACCACCTGCCCCCGAAGCCCAGCAACGGGCTCCAGCGCCAGGGACTGCGCGCGCAAGCGAGGGACGGGGCCAGCTCACTGGCCCGGTGCCTCCTGAGGGCGCACCGTGCTGTCGCCGGCAATCCCTGCCGTCCGTGGACCTCCGCACAGCCTCATGCGGCGCCGAGGCTCTGGCGCGGCGGACGGCCCAGGGGTAGCCTGGCGTCAGCCCCGAACCCGAAGAGGCCGAACTGGCATTTGCGCTGGAGGTCCCGCTGACGGGACCCTCCAGCGCGGCAGCGCTGCAGGAACGACTGCGCGGCCATGCTGTAGGCTACGCCGAGGCGAGCTGCATCCCCAGAGCGCCGCTTCCTCCCTCCCCAGCGCTTGCCAGCACGCAGCCTCGCCCTGCAGCCGCGAGATGATCTCCGCGGTGAAGCGGCCCTCCTTCCCCCCACCCCGAATCTCCATCAGCACCGCGGTGTAAATCGCGCTCCTCGCCGCCTGCGAGAGATCGGGGCGCGGGATCGGCTTCGCGAGATCTGCGGCCGGGATGGCTTCCAGCGCGGGCGCAACGATCGGCGCGCCGTCCATTGCAGTCGGGGCAGCCAGCGCCGTCGCGACGTTAGATCTCACGTGTTGTGCAACCAGAAAGCCTCCAGCGCTGGCGCGACGATGGCTTTCGAGCCTTCTGCGGCTGGGGCGGTCGCCTGCGCTGGCGCCGCGATCGGTTGCGCGCGCTCTGCGGCCGGGGCGGCAGCCGGCGCCGGCACCACGGTCAGCTTCACGTTCTCTACGGATGGGGTGGCCTCCCGCGCCAGCGCCGCCGTCGGTCTCGTGAGCTTTGCGGCCAAGATGTCCTCCAGCGAGGGCGCCACAGTTGGCTACGCGTCCTCTGTGGCCTGGGTGGCCTCCAGCGCCGTCGCCACTACCGCCAGAATGGCCTCCATCGCTGACGCCACGATCGGCTTATCGTCCTATGCGGCTCGGCTGAGACGGCAGCCATCGCCAGCGCCACCATCTACTCAATCAAGCTCATGTGCGGCATGTGATTATTAGTGATCACTGCCTGTCCCAACGCCTCCTGCTGAGGCATCGCCGCAGTGAGAGCCTGCGGAACCACGTTCACGACGCCATCCGCGTCGAACTCCTCCACCTCCTGCTCGTCCCCCAACGCGTGCCAGTTCGCACCGTCGTGCTGCACCGCCTCTTCCGCGCACTGCTGGACCAGCTCCTGCGGGATGGAGGTGCAAACCACGCTTGCTGTCCCCAGGCTCCGCCACAGATCGGCGGTGGACAAACCTCCCTTTAGTAAACCTCCCCATTAGTGAAAACGGCCTGGAACCGAAACCGACGGACCTGGACCCGCAAAAATGATGGCCGCGACGCCCTCTCGCGAACCGAAAACGGCCAATTCACCAATCGACGTGTCAGGGTAGGAGGTCGATCCACCTCCGAACAGAGAAGGCCTGCACGGGCGGCGGAGCCGCCTGCGACGCCGCCGCCGCCCCCGGCCGCACGCCCGTCGAGGCCGTGCACGGGCGGCCGCCAGCACGCCGCAGCCACGGCCCCAGCGCGAGCGCGGGCGGGCGGGAGCAGGGCCCAGGCCAGAGGCCTGAGCCAGTCGGGCGTCGGCAAAACTGGGTTTAGTGGAACCTGGGGGCGCCCCCCCGCCCCATTTCCACTAACCGGAACTGCCGTCATCCGAGAAAACACCAGCTGCGGCAAACCTGGTTTAGTGGTTCTGGCCCCCATCCTACTTAAGGGCCACATCCCAGAAATAATTTCGAGCACCCGGAGAAGTGTCAAAAGAGCGTCGAAACGGTGTCGAAACAGCGTCGGGCGAGTGCCTCCCAGGGCCCGAGGCGTGAAGCCCCTCGAGTTTCGGTACTTTTTTTTTCTGGCGCTCGAAATTCTCTTTCTGGTGGTCAAGACCAAAGTAGGTTGGAGCATCCTAAGCCCAGGCCAGAGGCCTGAGCCAGGATGGCTTGACCCAGGCCGGGGGGCTAGAGCCACAGTGGTGACTACCTACCAGACCACCCCAACCCAACCCGAAGACCCGAATTTCGGGTTGGGGGGGGTAAGGGTTCCACGCGTGTTTCTTCGATGTTCCCCGACCCCCCCCCCACTGGAAATCGACGGTAAATTTGAGCCTTCGGGTTGGGTTGGGGTGGTTTGGTGGGTGGTGAAGTGGCCTGCGGCCTGTGCGGAAGCGCTTGTCCGGAGCCCCCCGCGCGTGTGGGGCCTCGCGTGCTGCATACCGAGCGCGGGGCCCCCGCAGCGGAGGCCAGTCCACGAGGAACCTTCCGCAAGAGACCCAACACCGAGATCCCAGGACGACCATGGCTTTTTGGTGTGGGGGCGTCACGCTTCCCACAGCAAAGCCATCGAAACCCATGAAAAACCCAGGGCACCCTGGAGGCAGACAGGGTGTTCCTCGGCGGCATGGGTCTCCACGGTATGCGCACGAGCCCCATGCACATGGACGGACGTCTACTCCGAGTTTCTTGATAAGCGTCAGGGGGGGGGGGGCGTCACCCCCGCCGACAGCCCCACATCGACCCCCGTCGCGGGCAGCCACCGCGCGCCGAAGGCGCTCCGACCCCCGCCGCGGCGCGACGAAGAGGCGAAGTTGACCCCCGTCGGGGGGTCCCCCCCCGCGCTTATTAAGAATCCCGCAGCACTTGTGCGTGGAAAATGTCCACCGCCCAGAGCTTCCTCGCACTTTTTTTGATCCGCGGGTCGAGAGCGCACCTCTTCCGGTCGAGGCTAAGCGGGCCGCGCACAGCTTTAATTACAGAGGGGGGAAGGCAGGAGGGGCCTCACGTCAAGGCCAGGAGGGGGCAAAGCCCAGGAATCAGGCGGTGCCGAAGACGATGTGCTTGCAAAGGAACGCCTTGTACAGGACACGGCGGCAAGAGCTCCTCGCACAGGTCTCTTCCGTTCCGTGATCGTCCTGGCCCCGGGGCGTCGCGACTGCTCTTGGGCCCTCGCGCAGGGCGCGGCGCACCCGGCGGATGGGGCGGACGCGCTCGGCGGCCAGGAGGCCCGCGCAAGAGGAGGACGGGGGGGGAGAAGACGACGACGAGGAGGAGGAGGAGGAGGAGGAGGAGGAGGAGGAGCAGGAGGAGGAGGAGGAGGAAGAGGAACAGGACGAGGAGGAGGAGGACGAGGAAGCGGAGGAGAAGGAGGAGGAGGAAGAGGAAGAGGAAGAGAGGAGAAGGAGGAGGAGGAAGAGGAAGAGGAGGAGGAGCTCGAAGAGCCGCGTCGCTAAGCCTTCCGGTTACTCTCTCCCTCTCCAGTCCCCCCGAGTCCCTCTCCTTCTGCTCTTCTCCCTCCTCCTCCGTCTGCTGCCCATCGCCACCTGTGCATGGGCCGCGCAGACGGCTCTGGTCCAGCAGCTGGGGAGTGGTTGACAGAACCGCGCACGGAGCCTGAAACTGTCCCGACAGAGCGCCTTGTCCCAAGATGCGTAAAGAGTGAGGAGGGAGGAAAGAAGCCGAGACGGATGGGGGAAGAAGATTCAGAAGGATGGGGGCAAAAGCAAAACGATTGAGAAAAAATTAAGCCGCAGGTGGAGGACGAACAGGAGGAAGATGACAGCGCTCAGGACATGCAAGAGAATTGCAGCAACACCTCGCTTCCAGTGGCAAAGCTTCGCTAAGCTCAACCACCACCTCCAACCAACCCCCAACGACCCGGACAACCCTCGGGGCCAACCCCCTCTAGCCATCCCCGTTCAGGGTAAGTCTTTCCACTGAAAAAAAGACCGACCTTTGCCTCTGCCTGAACAGTTTGTGCTTTGCCAGATTCCTCAACTTGATCGCAAATTCTTGCAAGCCCATACCAAGAAAAGGCCACATTCCTTTTTTCGACCTACAGAACCCGTGTAGTTCATGTGCTGCCCATGCCCGACTTCCAACATGTTCACAGAAGGTCTTTCTAAAAAATGAGTTGCAGCGCGGATCCTCGGGCGCACACTTCTGAGAGCGAGCGTGGCCAACCCAACCGTCGACCTCAGCCTTCCAAGCTCCACCTGCCCCCGAGCTCGTCAAGCGGGCGGAGACCACCCCCGTGCGATTCGAACTCGCAGCCCTCTCCGCGTCCGTGCCCTCGAGGCCGTCGGGGCAAAAAGCGGGGAATGTCTAACGGCACACCCGGCGTGCGCTGCCGCTCTCGTACTCCGCATCATTTGGAAATTGAGCGGCTGCGCCAAGTGGAGCGCGCCGATGCTGTACGCCAGCGCGGGGCGAACCCACGACTCTGATGAATGCAGCGTGTTCCGGGAAAGCGATCCCTTGCACTCGATGCCCATGCGATGCTTGTGAAATGCTCCCAAGCATTAGATCTCCGCCCGCTTCCTTGTCCTACAGACGGCTCTCAATATGGACACGCACGCCCTCGTCCTTGCTGACGTACGTTACATGCACCACACCTGGATGCTCGGAGATCTGCCACTGTCGTGGGATCCAGATGGTCCGGCGATGTGTGTGCCAGAACTGAATGAATTACAAATAAACGGGCAGGCCCCGTCGATATCACTCATCTCATCTCATCCATGTCCACCGACTAACCCGCCTCGTACAACATACGACTCCACTTGTCGTAGCCCGCGCCTGCGCCACCGAAGTGCCGAGCAACCCGGCGATGCCCGCGAATACCAACAGAGGGGTGCGCTTCCAGATCCTGCGCTCCTTCATCATCCACACTCGGGGCGCCGAGTGCATCCCCACGCTAGCACCATGAACTCCTGCACCACCGCGCTGCCCAAGTCAAGCTGACCTCCGTTGGCGTTTCCGAGTCTCCCTGAATCAAACTCCTTGTCCGACGGGCTCTCCTACAGTGGTGCTCCTAGGGAAATGTCCTTGGCACCTGTATGCGACGGATCCAACGTAGTTTCACAAGAGCATGTATACTTTGGATTTTACTTGCCTCGTTGCTTTTTTGAAACGATATCCCTTACTCCTCGTCGCTCACTGAAGGCGACCACCACCACCACTGCGACCACGCCCAAGTCAACGGCGACGATGACGACAACGACAGCGGCCATGAGAAACAAGACGGCGACGGCGGCAACGACGGTGACGATGGCGGCGACGACGCGGCGACGACGGCGACGAGCACGACCACGTAGGACGAGGGGCGCCGCCACGGAGGGCGGCCCCAGCGCAGGCGGAACACAGCACGTAGCCGCAGCGAGCGCCGCACCGCAAGTGCCTCGGCTCGGCCGAGCGCTCCCCGACCCGCCTCGCTTTCCTTGTCCTCCTCATCCCCATGACTCATCCCCCAGCCGAGGTATTCCAGGCAGGAGCGTGTGAAATGCTTGGCCCAACCGCGTCGTACCAGACGGAGCGAAAAAAACATACGAATTCTGAAGCAGCGCCACTTGGCACGAGGGCCGCGGACCGGGCGATTCACGAATCCCACTCGGCCCAACCCCCCTGCCAGTTTCTATGTGTGTGTGTCACCTGCAAACTCTGTTCGAAGAGAAGGACCATAATCCTGTGGGGTTTGGCGGCAACCCGCCGTCCTGTTACTAATGCTGGCTTCAACAGCGAAGAAATACGTTCCCTGGTAAGCCCATTTCCTGGTGAACTGATGCATCCCCCAGTTGTAGATTCTGAACTATAGAAGTTCCACGTTGCGAACTTCCAAGGAGCTCGCTGGCAGCTTCTAAGGAGCTCCTTGGCATTTTCTACAGAACTACTTGGCAGCTTCTGACGAGCTCACTGGTGGCTTCCACGGAGCTCCTTGGCAGCTTCCAAGGAGCTGCTTGGCAGCGTCTAAAGAGCTCCTTCGCAACCTCTTGAGCACCTCCGGAATCCTTCGGAATTAATGCGAACCTTACAGGCATCCTCAACGATCTTTCAGGAACTCCCAGGAAACCTTCAGGGGAGCCTCCGGACCTTCCAAGAATCTTCAGAAATCCTGCAGGAATCCTCGGGAAGCCCATTCTCAAGAACCCGTCTGGAATCCGACAGGAATTCGAAGGAATCCTTCAGACATCGCTCACGAATTTTCAGGGGTCTTTTTGGAAGTTTCAAGCATCCCTCTGGAAACCGCAGGAATCCCTCATAAGTCCTTCAAGAATACTTACGAATTCTCTGGAATCCCCCACGAATCCTTCAGGATTCTTCCAGAACTCCCAAGAGTCTTCAGGAATCTGTAGCAATCCTCAAGCATCCTGGGGGGGTCCTCATGGAATCTCCCAGGAATCCTCCGGACATGCTCAGGAACCGGCAAGAAGCCTCAGGAATTTCTAGGAATCCTTCAGGTATCTTCAGGAGTCCAAAGAAATCATGCTGGGATCGTTCGGGGTCTTCTGGGATCCGTCTGGAGTCCCCAACAAACCCTTCAGGAATCTAGACACATTCGCAAGAATCCCTCCAGAACTCTGACGCAACCATCAGGAACCATCAGGAATCCATCAGAAGGACTCCTCAGGAGACCTTTTAGAGATCACCTGAAAACCTTCAGGAATCCCTCAAAAGCCCAAGAACCCTCCAGGAATATCTTGGAACCCGCGGGATCCCCAATGGAATTCTGAAGCAGTCATCAGGGGCCACAAGGAATCCGTCAAGAATCCTCAGGAGCCCTTCAGGAATCATCACAAATCCTTCCGGAATCCTGGGGGACCCCGCAGAAATCTTCACGATCCCTTTTTAGGATTCTTTCAGGGATCCCTCAGGAAGCCCAAGAACCCTCCAGGAATATTCAGGAATCCGCGGGAACCCCTGCGGAATTCTGAAGACATCATCAGGAACCACCAGGAATCCATAAGGAATCCTCAGGAGCCCTTTTTAGGAATCATCAGAAATCCTTTCGGAAGCCAAAGGGTTCCCTTAGGAGTCTGCAAGATCCCTCTGTAGGATTATTTCAGGAATCCCGCAGGAAGCCAAAGAATCCTTCAGGAATCGTTGGGAATCCGCTGCGACTTCTATGGAATTCGAACGCAAGCATCAGGAAGCACCCGGAATTTATCAGGAATCCTCAGAAACCCTTTTAGGAATCATCAGAAATCCTTCGGGAATCCGAAGGGATCCGCAGAAAAATCTTCAAGATCTCTTCGTAAGAAATCCTTCAGAAATCCCCAAGAAGCCCAGAAATCCTTCAGCAATTCTCCGCAATCACCGTGGCAGTCGGCGATATCAGGGGGGGAGCAGGGGTGGAGGAGCAGGAGGAGGAGGAGGAGGAGGAGCAGGAGGAGGAGGGAGACCGCATCAACCTCTCTCTCTCTCTCTCTCCTGCTTCCGCCTCCGCCTCCTCCTCCTCTTCCTCCTCCTCCCCTGCCTCCTCCTCTTCCTCCTCCCTGTCCTCCCCCTACTCCACCTTGTGTTTTTCCTTCCTGCTCCTGCATCTCCTTACCCCCCTCCTCCTGATCTTCAGCATCATCATGACCCTCGTTCTCGTGCTCGACATCGTCCTCATAGTCTTCTTCCTCCTCCTCATCATAGTCATCCCCCTGCCCCTCCTCCTCCCCCTCCTCCTCGTCCTCTATCTCCTACCCGTTCCTCATCACCCTCTTCCTCCTGCTCTCATTCCCTTTCACATTTCTTCCACATCGCTGTCGGCCGCAGTCCCGTCAGCGTCGCCGTCAGCATTGGCAGCGGAGAATGGGAGAGGAAGAGGAGCAGGAGGAGAAGCAGGAGGAGAGGGAGGAGGATCGGGCGTTGGCAGGACCAACTTTCGTGGGGCCCAGTTTCGGGATGACGTGTACCAGCCTTCCCCCTTGCCCTCCTCCCCGCGACGCGGCGCGATCCTCCGGCACCAGCTGCTCCGGTGCGGCCGGGCGGCCCCTCGGATCGACGGGGCGGCCCTGGCCCAACGCCGCGCGCGTGCGCGCCGCCGCCGAGGGTCTCGAGCTATCTTGAAACGGAGAGAGCGCCAGGGTCGGGGGCGACCACGGGGGGGGCTTCCAAGAGGGGGGGCGCAAATCATGGCCCGAGGCACGTGCGCGGCCCAGGGAACGCACCGAAATAAGATAAGGCACCACGCAATCTGGGGAGATATCGAGGCCCCAGCCGTGATAAACCTCCCTGATGGGCCGATTTTCCACCACCACCACCACCACCACCATAGGTAGGAGGAGGAGGAGCAGGAGGAGGAGGAGGAGGAGGAGGAGGAGGAGGAGGAGGAGGAGGGGAGGAGGAGCAGGAGGAGGAGGAGGAGGAGGAGGAGGAGGAGGGGGAGGGGGAGGAGGAGGAGGAGGAGCAGCAGGATCTCCCCATCCTCCCTTCTTCCCCGTCCTACCTGTGGTAGTGGTGGTGGAAAATTGGCCAATCACCCAGAGATGCGATGTCGTAATTTTTTGCAGTGCGGGGTCCCCAGAAGTCTCGACCCACTCCCCAGGACCGGCTTTTTTCATCCTGCATCACTTTTTGACGGCCCCGAGGCGCGGCGAGGGCCCCTGGGGGCCGAAGTCTGCGAAAAAGCTCCGTCTTGGTTTTGTGCAGTACGTTGGCTCTCTGGGCATCCCCCCCCCCTCTGGTTCTCACACACCCTTCCCTGGTCGCCCCCCCGACGGGCGCGGGGGCTGCCCGCCTCCAGCGCCGCCGGGCGGCCTCCTGCTCGCAGGCCGGCAGCTACACACACACACACACACACACACACATCGGCTACACGCAAGAGTGACCCTGGGTAAGAGTGACCTTTGGTGCGCGGCTTTTGGGGGCCGCGGGGGGACCAAACCTGGGCGCGCAAGCCGCTGCTCCTGCTTCGTTTTCAGCCATCTGGGGGCCCATCTGTGCCCGCACCAAAGGTCACTCCGGCGAAAGGTCACTCTTACGTCTAGTCGAACACACACACACACACACACACACACCGCCGCCGCGGGGGCTGGGCCCGCCCCGGGAGCCAGCCTCGGCCGGTCGGTGCACGGGCACGCCTGGCCTGGGCCAGGACGGCCTGGTGAGCGTGTTCTTATCCGGCGTCTCGACATTATGGGCCGAAGGGAGGGGGGGGGGAGGGGGGGGAGGGGGGGGTCTGGCTCCAGACCTCTGCTTCGTGAGGCTGTCTGCAACGGTGCATCCTGCGGGGGAGACTCCACCTGCTCGAGACCGGTGCCAAAAACAGCCAAGATCTACTCCACGGGGGGGGGGAGGGGGGGTTGGGGGGTCCGCGCCGATCGGCAAAACAATGAATAAAAAACGAACACCTGTGCGGCTGGTTCCTGGCGTGATTGAAAGGGCCCATGGACACAAGAAGGAATAGACACGAATCCCAAACATCCACCTTCTTATTCTTCCATATTGTCTGGATGTTGGTTCTCCCCTCCACTTCCCAATGCTTCCAATATTCTCCCATTTTTCCTCGGGAATCGACGTGTCTTTGTGTCTCCTGAATGTTGGCGTGGCCAGTGGTTTCTGACACGGCGTCGATCGTCAAATCTTGAGAGGTCTGCGCTATCCGACAACGGAGACGGAGATCCCTCCAAGGTCGGCTTGTGGATGCCATGACAATGGACACTCTAACAGTCCTATCCTTGAACTAAAGATGTGTTTTAAACATCGAAAAATGTTCTAAACATGTTTTAGACATGCTTCTTCACATGTTTAAGACATGTTTGAAACACGCTTTGGACATCTAGAAATGATTTGGCAACACGCTTCCTCTCCATTGGTCGTCGCCCGCAGAGGTCGGCCTGGTTCGGGCCGCCAGTGGCCTTGCAACCCTCCGCGCCCTGGCTGGCGTCGCCGCCGCCTCGACGCCGCGCGAACCTGCCGCAACACCGGCCGCGTGCCCAGGATCGGCCCGTCGGGGGCTGGCGGCGGCGTGTCTGGGAGCGCCGGAGGCGCCCTGCCTGCGCCACTCCAGAGAAAGGCGGGATGCGCTCTCGCGCACCTGTTGTGCCACGCTTGTGCTTGTGATCTCTGCTTTTGTTTCGTGGAGCAAGAGCGAGGATGCGCTCTTGCCCACAATCGTAGCGCCGTGAGGTGTGTGAGTGAATGTGTGCGTGCTTGTGTGTGCTGTGTGTGTTGTATGTTGTGTGTTTTGTGTCGTGTGTGTTGTGTGTGTGTCGTGTGTGTTGGGGTGTGTGTGTGTGTGTGTTGGCGTGTGTGTGTGTGTTCATGTGTTTGTGTGTGTGCTTGTGTGTTCGTGTGTGTTTGTGTGTTTGTGTGTTTGTGTGTGTGTGTCTGTGTGTGTGTGCGTGCGTGCGTGTGTGGGCGTGGGTGTGTGTGTGTGTCTGTGTGTGTTCGGGGCCTGGGGCCATGGAAGAGAGCAGCCGCGGCGAAAGACACACCAGTATCATGAATGGGCTCAGAAGGTCTGGTGCAGTCATGCAGCCTCCTGAACCCAGTGCGCTGGATGGCGGAGGAGCCGCGGCAGCAGGGGGCAGCTGGAGAACGGGCAGGGATTGCAAGGATGGCCGCTAGGGCTGGAGGCCGAAGACCTCCAGAAACATCGCAGAGCTTACCAGCCCGGAACATATCCCTATCCCTATGCTGGGCATCTCCTCATCACGATGCCAATCTTAGGGATGCCCTGACTTTTTGATGGCGAATCCCTAGGATTGCCATCGCCTTTTGGCGTGTCCATCTTAGGGATAGGGATAAAATCGAGGCTGGTAAAGAGCCTCCTCGAGCCTCGATCCTGCAGGGCGGGCACCCTGGAGGTCGAGGAGGGCGGGCGGCGGCGGGCTCCTGGAAGATCCGCTGGCGCTGGCTTCCGACACCGCGCGAAGCGTTCGACCAGCGCACTGTCGCGACGCTCCGACAGCGCAGAGCCTTCGAGGTCGACCGCCTCTGGGAGACTGGCGGCGCTGTGGCCGTCCTTGTCTCTCCCGGGTAGCGGTCGTTACCCAGGGGGGAGGTGCGGGCGTGCGGGTAGCGGTAACGGCGGCCGCGGCGTGCACCGCGGGCACGTCCGCGCCACCAGCGCCTCCATCGCCCGCGCGCGCCACGACATGCAGGGGGGGGGTCCAAGGCCCCCCCCCCAGCACGATCGTTAGCGTTACCCGGGGAGGGGGGTCGTCTGGCACGGGTGACGAGCGCTACCCTGGGGAGGAACAACCCAAAAAACGCTCATGTTCCACCTGAGAGGCGATCAAAAATGGGTCTCGCGCAAGATGCCGTAGCGGCCTTACGCGGCGGCTTCCGCGCGCCGCCAGCGCGACACGCCAAATCAGAGGCGAGGGCACGTACGCGCGAGCTTACGCGGGCAGCTCACGCGCCAATGTCGGCGCAGACGACCCGTTTTTTTTCCGTCGCTCACCTGGAAAGCCCGCGCTGGGGTCGCCGCCGCGCCGGCGCGGCGTGAACCACAACATGAAGGGGGGGTCCAGCCCGCCCCTCGGCGTTTTAAACTATTTGGGGATTTTCCTCCTGTAGAGGGACATGCCCGACTTGACTCTACGGCCCGCCTGCCTCGCCCCCAGGTGGCTGCCCAGAGGCTGCCTCTTCCGCCGCAGACCGAGGCGGAGCCCGCCCGAGGAGCGAGGATCGAGGAGGCTCTGGGCGCAGCTGCCCCGCTGCGAAGCACGCAACACGCAACACGCAGCGTCGACCCGGCGCTCAACACGTGGACTGAAGACGCGGGTCTGGCGCGATGCGCTCGCCGAATCGTGGGCGAGCACGTGCCGAGCCAACACGCAGCGTGTGAACGCGGACGTTTCGGAGACGGCACGTGTTGCGTTCCAGCACGGGCGCATCAGTGCAGCCAAGGCTCTGGGATGTTTTGGGAGGGCTTCGGGCTCCGGGGCACAGCAGGGCCCACGAAAGGCCAGTGGGGACTGATCGGAGAGGACACGCGAGAGGACCCAGGACCCTTCCGGGGGCCACGCTGCCATCGGAATGTGGGAGGCATCGGTCGCGAAATACAGGACACGAGGGTACGTGCACTTGACTGGCAGGGGCGACCTACCACTCAACCTCGACTGGAATCGGGGAGCCGGCGCTGCCAGTCTGCCCATTGTGCTCCCCTGGTGCTATCGGATCTGACGCTCCCGTCGAGCTCCAGCGCCTGGAAGCCGCCCCCGACGCCCGAAGTCCTCCGAAGACCCCACATGCCGCTCCCGCATGCAGAAGGCGAGACGAGTCAGCGGCAAAAGCATTAGCTTCCGCAGATCCGCGCGGTTCTCTTGGATCGGCTTCAGGCCCCCCCGACCTGGCGGCAGGGGCGGCTGCAAGAGACCCATGCGAGCTTGCGAAGGCTTCTGATTATGCCGCTTACTATCGACGGCGAGCGAGGGGCGGAAGTCAGAAGTCGGGCTTCTACTGACCCGGGCCAATGCAAACCCAGGCCAGGCAGGCGTCCGCGCCAGCCCGGGTCCATGCACCCCTGGCTTGGCAAGATCCTGCCAAATCCTTCGCCATGGCGGACCCCCGTCTGCACGGACCCGCGTCACGTGAGCCCCGAAGAAGGATGAGGCCTCCTCAGAAGGCGGCGGGGCGTCTCAGAAGTCCTCCGGCCGTCTGAGAGGTGTTCTGCGTCTTCGGGGAAGGCTCAGAGAAACTGTCCTCTGGAAGGCCGGGGGCCTTTCGAGCCTTCTGAGCAGGCCCGCCCCCCTCACTGAAGGGGCCCCAGACACAAATAAAAAGACTCCCCATATTTTCCCATATTTTCTGTGTTTCTGTCTTCCCCCCCACTTCCCATATTTTTGCACATCTTCCTGGGAGTCGACGAGTAATTGTGTCTGTGTGTTTTTGTCACCTCCTGACTCACTCCCACCCCCAGGCTGGCCGTCGAGATTCCCCCTCGAGCACGGGAGCCGGCGCCACGCCAAACCCCTCGGAGGCCTGCGCCCCGCGGCGGCCGCGCGGGGCTCACGAGCCGGCGCCCTTCTTGGCCCTCTTCGCCGCCGGGGGCCCGCTGGCCCGCGCTCCCCCGGCTCCCGCGGAGCCAGCGGTGCTGCCTCCGACGGCGCGCCCGCGCGACGCCATCATGCTGCAGAACTCCTCGAAGTCGATGACCCCGTCGCCATCCAGGTCCACCTCCTTGATAATCTTATCGATCCTGCTGGCGCCCAGCGCTTCCTTCACCGAGTCGCCGTTGAGCACCTTTCCCAGCTCTTCGCGGGTGATCTTCCCGTCGCCGTCGAGGTCGAAGGCGCGGAAAGCGGCCCAGCATACATCCCTCTGCATGTAGACCTTCTTGTCTATCATGGTGGCCAGGAACTCGGTGTAGTCAAGCTGACCTGAGCCATTGCAGTCCACCGCCTTCAGAAGGTCATCCAAATGCTGGGGAACCTTCAGGCCATGCTGCAGCATGCCTTGTCTTACCTCATCTGGCGACAGCATGCCGTCTGCGTTCTTGTCAAGCCCCTTGAAGATGCCTTGCAGAGACTCGATCTCCTCGTCCGGCAGCTGCTGGGCGATAATGGCCAGCGCAATTTTCTTAAGCTTCGAATTGGCGCGGAAGCCCTGTAGTCGTCTCACGAAGTCGGTGCCGATGGCAGCGGGTGTAGGCGTGCCCTTAAACCGCAACCAAGGAGTATCCAACAATGCCTTTGCGGATGGCCGCAGAGACGGGTCCACTGTGAGCATCTGCGTGACCAGGTTCTTCGCGCCCTGCGAGATGAGATCCCACTCGGGCGATCGGAACTCGAAGACGCCTGCCTTCACCTTCCGGAGGATCTCTGGGTCTGTCTCGCCAGAGAAGGGCGGGTAGCCGCAGAGGAGGATGAACGTTATGATCCCCGCACTCCAGACGTCGCAGCGCTCGTCATAGGAGCCCTTCAAGACCTCGGGCGCCACGTAGTAGGCGGTCCCCGCCTTGGAGGACATGGGCACGCCAGGCTCGTAGTGGCAGGCCAGCCCGAAGTCTATGATCTTGAGCGCCGAGTCGGCGCTCTTGCTATGGAATCGGCCACCGCGCCCCTCGGCGCGACGTTGGCTTCTTGGAGAAACCATGAATCCCTTTCAAATGGTCAGCGTTTTCTTCTTCGGCGTTTCGACATTGGGCGGAAGGGGGAGGAAGGGGGGGGGGTCTGGCTCTGAACCTCTGCTTAGTGCGACTGTTTGCAAAAGTGTGTCCATCATGGGGGAGATCGCACCTGCTCGAAACAGGCGCCAAACACAGCCAAGATCTGCTCCATGGGGAAGGGAAAGGGGGGGTGCGAGGGCCCGCGCCGATCGGCAAAACAACGAAACGAAAAACGATCACATGTGCATCCTTCGTGGACGCACCGTGTGCTTCCCCCCAGTTTCCGCCCGCCTTCCGCAGGCTTCCGCCGTCGGAGCCGCCCCCGTCGTGCTTCTCCCGCCGCCTCTGGCCTGCCTGCCGCCAGCCTCTGCCGATGGCGAGGGTGCATCAGGATGCATCGAAGGCGCCCGACACGGAGCAGTCGAAGCCGTTCCTCCTTTTTATTGTGGATGCCATGGCAACAGACACTCTAACCATCCGATCATGTAATTGAGATGTGACTCACATGTTAAACATGTATAAAAGTGTGTCAATAATGCTTTTACATGTTAAGACATGTTTGAAACAGTGTTTAGAGCTTAGACATCTGAAAATCGTTTAGCAGCACGCTTCCTCTCCACTGGTCGACTTCCACAATCATGTTATGTCCGACGTGCGCGCGGGAATACGTGGACAGCTCCAGAACCCCCGAAAGCACAAATGCTGACGTCTCGTTTTTTCTTCCTCCGCTCTGCTTCCTTTCGTTTGCGCGCACTACTCCCTCTTGTCGCTGGAAGTTACGTGCTGGGCCTCATGGAAAAGCTCAACCGAAACGGTCGCTTCGGCGAGATCCAACGTCTTGCCAGACCGGGAACCCCGGAGGCGGAGGTAGACGGGCGATGCGATTCGCGGGAACTTCGGCCGACGAGAGCTACAAAACCGCTCTGCTTCCGCCAGCTTCCGCCACGCGGAAGGCGAGGACCTCTCTGGAATGCTCTACACGTTCGATCTCGGTGGCGCTCGGAGCGGCGCAGGGGGGGGGAGGAGCACGCGGGCTGGGAAGGAGGAGGAGGAGGAGGAGGAGGAGGAGGAGGGAGGAGGAGGAGGAGGAGAGGAGGAGGAGGGAGGAGGAGGAGGAGGAGGAGGAGGAGGAGGAGGAGGAGGAGGGAGGAGGAGGGGGAGAGGGAGGAGCAGGAGGAGGAGGAGGAGGAGGAGGCGGAGGAGGAGGAGGCGGAGGGGGAGCACGAGGATGTCAGGCCCCTCCCGCGGCCCCAGATCTGGGCCCGACGTCGGCGCGCTCCCCCGCCCCCCCCCAAAAAAAAGACGCCGGCCACGGCAGCCCCGGCGAAGCCCGACGGCGCACAGTGGAAGCGGAAGCCAGTCCACAAGAGACTGCCCAGAAGCAACCCAACCCTGGGGCCCAGGGACGTCCACCGATGTCTGGTGGGCAAGCAGGGTGCTTCTCGGCGGCGCGCACAAAGGGGGTGGGGGAGGGGGGAGGGCTTCTTAGAAGCACCCCTGCTTCTCGGAAGGCGCTGGCCCTACATCTGTAGAGAAGGCCCGCGCCTTCTAAGAAGCAGGGGTGCTTCTAAGAAGCCCCCCCCCCCTCCCCCCACCCCCCTCTGCGCGTGGCTGATGTTCCTTGGCATGGGCCTCCACTGTACGTCGCCGCGCCACTTGAGCGACGATCAAGCATGGGTCTTACGCAAGATGACGAAGCGACCTTACGCGGTGGCTCACGCGGGCCGCCGGCGCGGCGCGCTGTATTGGTGACGAGGGTGCTCACGCGCGACCTGACGCGAGCAGATCACGCGGCAATGCCAGCGCAGACGACCCCGTGTCTTTGCGTCGCTCACTTGTCCTCGACGCGCCCAGGTGGACGACACCGACACCGCGGCAAACCCACGGCAAACTCTGCGTCCCGCGCCCAAGGAGACGAGGCGGGCACCGCGGCAGACCCCACGGCGAGCCCACCGCGTCCGAGGTGGCGCTTGCCCCGGTGGCCGCGGCGAGCTCACCCAAGACGCAGGGCCGCGCGTCAGAGCAACAGCGCGGCGACATATGAATCTTCCCAGGATCTGCGGACTGGGATTTCCAAGACCGCCCAACCAGGCCCAGGACGACTTTCAAAATGACCCCAACATAGCCTCGCGATGGCGCCACAAAGGCCACGGAGACTCTCGAGCAAGCCGCCGAGATGTCAACACTAGCGGAAACACGATGCTCTGCTGCCGTGCTGCATCCCTCGGCTTCTGGGCATCGGGTGGGCCTCAGACGCCGAAGAGAACCCCAGAGAACGATTGGAAGATCCGCCCCTCTTCCCCTCACTGCAAGATAGCCCAGACACACCCCAACAGGCCCCCAAGCCCCCCGACGCCCCCAACAAGCCCCACCGATGCCTCCACGGGCTCCCGAGTGGCCTTCAAGAAGCCTACTGTGCAATACCACTGCCACACACACATTGCAGCATCGCAGCGATGCATCCTCCACACGCGTCGCGGTGTTCGGAGTCGGGCTCCTGGCCACTGCGGCAGCCAGCATGGCCAGGAGAAAAAAGGTGGCGGCGACATGTGCCGCAAGCCACTCGATAGAAAATTCTCTGGCTTGACGTCTCTATGAGCAAAGTGGTGGGCGTGCATGTACGACAGCGCCCCCAAAATCTGCTGTACAATTCCGGCAGCCTTCAGCTCGTCGAAGCCGTTGGTGCCCTCTTCGACGATCCGATCGAAGAGCTCGCCGCCCGTGCACAGCTCCATCACCAGGTAAAGTTTCCTGGCGTCCCGGAAAGTTTCATACAGCCGGACCACGTTCGGGTGGTCCAGCTGCTTTGCAATGGCTATCTCCTTCTCGAGCCTGGTGGGGTTCTTCACGTTCTTCGTCTCTATGCTCTTGACTGCCCGCACCGCGCCTGTCCGCTTGCAGACGGCGGTGTGGGCGCTGCCAAAAGAGCCCTCGCCGAGCCGCGAGCTGCCGATCGTGTAAGAGTCCTCCAGCCTTCCAGGGTTGTCCTGCGGGCTGGAGCAGCCGACACCGAATCGGGACGTCGGGTCGGGTCTGCACGTGCCTGGGAGTGTCCTGCACCAGTACGGAGTCGGAATCGCAGCGGGCACCGGGCCGCACTGGACCGTCGGAACATCGGGATCAGCTCGAGCTGGCAGAAACCGATATCGTTATCGAGCAGCATCGATCGGATCGAAATGGGCACGGCTGGGCCGTGCACCACAGATCGGCGGCAAGTTTGGGGGAGAAGTGAGAAGGAGAGGGCCTTCTCAGAAGGCTCGGAAGAAGCCCCCTGTCCTTCTGAGAAGCTTCCCAAACCCTCCCAGAAGACGCAGAAAACTGTTCAAAGGCCGGCGGGGCTTCTTAGAAGCCCCGCCGCGTTCGATGACAAGGCCTTCTCTGGGACGCATAGAGACATACCAGTACCATCTATCCTCCTTGGAGGCGCGCGTCCGACCCGATCATGTAGTGCACCCATCTTGTAGTAGATCGTTTCTCGAGGGGTGTGCCCAGAAAGCGCCCGCCACGGCGCGCAGTACGGGGGGCGACGCACACATACACGTCGTTCATTTCTAATGGTGTTCATTTCTGATTGTGCTCGTTTCTAATTCTTCCCGGCCCCCCAGTGGCCAGGAAGAGGCCCAGGATGGAAGAATCAGAGATGAGAGGATCTTGGCCCCCAAAAAATCCAAGAACTCCCGAAGAACCAGACATGAACAGCGTGCAGCCTTGGTGTTGGGATGACGCCGATTCGCCTTCCCACTTCCACCCCCCCCATCGCCCGCCGCAGACCCAGAGGGGCGTGGGGCGAGGGCGGCGGCCTGCTGCGAAGGGCGACGGGGCCAGCATGGGCCGCTCGGCGGGGCGCGCCGAGGGCTCCCCGGGGAGGCCTGCCGCCCGAAGGCGGCGGGGCCTCTGCGGGTTCGGTGGCAACTCGTGTTGGCGGCGAGCGAAGGGGGAAAGTTTTTTTGTGGCTCCGCCGCGCGGGCCTCTCGAGCAAACCCAGGTGCACGAGGATCCGTGCTCACTCTCGGGAGTCGGCGAGGCGGCGAACGGTGCTGGGACCTCCTGTGGGGCGAGCGACGGGGGGAAGTGAGAAGGAGAAGGCCTTCTCAGAAGGCGGCGGGACTCCTCAGAAGGCCCCGCGCCTTCCGAGGAGTGTTTTGCGTCTGCCTCCCATACCATCTTACCGGCTCCTGCGAATCGACGCTGGGTCGACGACGCCAAATCGACGCAGAGTCGACGCTCATCGACGCTGAAGGGCGCTACATCGGCGCTATAGTCGGGGCGTTGACCTAAGGAACCCTAAATAAAGAACGAGGCCCCTTTTTTCCATAAGTTAAACCTCGATCTCCTATCGAAAACATAAGGGAAACCCGAGGCAAGCTGTGAAACACTTCAGGAACGCGGAGCCCCTCCCCAACCAAAAGGGTTCCTTCTTCGGGGCCCCGACTGTATCTCATCGACTCCCAGACGCTGATCGACGCTGGTCGACGCGCGAAGGACGGCACCGAGAGGGCACACCAGGAGGCTCCCGCGGTCTGCTGCCGAGTCTGTGGCGGAGGCCCGTCTGCCTGCTCGGACGGGGCCGCCCCGCGACCCGCGCGCCGCCGAGGCACCTCGCCCCAGAGCTCGGCGAGACGCCCCGGCAGTCGCTCTCACCAGGGATCCACCGAAGCGGTGCTGCTCGTTTTCGTTCTGCCTGCGCTCTCCCTCGCGTCGGCTTCCCTCCGCCCTGCTGTCATCCTCTCCGTGTCCGGGAGGAGCCCAAGGCAACGCGTGCACCCGCTCGTGGCAGGCCTGGGCGTGCGGTGCCGATGACTGGGGGGCACAATGCTCCGCCTCCCCCATGTGCCAGATCCCCCCAGGAGACCCCGGAGGCTTCCAGCAGGGGAGGAACGGAGGGAGGGAGGGAGGGAGGGAGGGAGGGAGGGAGGGAGGGAGGGAGGAGGAGGAGGAGGACGACGACGACGACGACGACGAGGACGAGGAGGACGCTGTCCCGGGTGAACTCCAGGGAGAAGCGCAGCGGCTCCGACTCCGCCCTCACCAGGGGGTGGCGCTGCGACGGCGCGGCACCCCCCTGGGGGGCGGGCGCGGGCGCCGCCTCGGCCATGCGGCCCCGCCCGAACCGGGAGCCAAGCCAGCACGAGCGGAGGTGGGAGGAGCGAAGCCAAATTGGCGGTGCGCAAAAGGGGGTGGAGGGAGGGGGGAAGGCTTCTGAGAAGGAGGCTGCTTCTTAGAAGGCGCCGGCCCTACATCTATAGATAAGGCCCGCGCCTTCCAAGAAGCAGGGGTGCTTCTAAGAAGCCCTCCCCCCTCCCCCCACCCCCCTCTGCGCGTGGCTGACCAAAGTCACCCGCAGCCGTCCCGCTGAATTCTAAGGACGCACGATGAGGATGCCAGGGCCCTGGAAGGCCACGTCGACGCGTTGCGGGCGGGGCACGGCCAGCGAAAGCGGCCAGGGAAGGACCGAAGGGGAAGGATGCGAAAGGGCAGCCTTGGAAAGTCGTCCCTCTTCCTTATCATGCGGGTTGGCTGCAGCTTCGCGCAGGGCGCCCCGAGATGGGTGGCTATCTCCGCGCCCTCGCGCCCTCGCTCCGATAAGAAAATATAGGAGTAATGAGAATAAGAAGAAATATACATACACACCTACAAACGCAATGAACTACAAACAACGACAATAACAACAACACCACCACCACCAACAACAACAACACTAACAACAACAACAACAACAACAACAACAACAGCAACAACAACAACAACAACAACAACAACAACAACGACGACAACAACAACAACAACAACAGCAACAACAGCAACAACAACAACAACGACGACGACGACAGTAACGACAACGACAACAACAACAACAACAACAACAACAACAACAACAATAAAAACAACATCAACAACAACAACAGCAACAACAACAACAACAGAAACAACAACGACAACAACAACAACAACAACAACAACAACAACAACAATCAGTTTACCCTCATGCGCGATGTTTCCACACGAAGCATGCGACCATCATGATAACCATGGGGACTCTTGTTCTATAGCGGGGTCCGTTATTCCCATTCCCAGATCTCCCTGTCAATGAGGTCTTGCAAACACCTCCTCCGAGGAATTTCAACAGATCCCGCCTCGAAAGCACATGCCCGCGCCTTGCTGCGCCGATGCGAGACCGCCAGTGGAACCCCAGCGAAGGGTAAAGCACAAGGAAGTATCGAACGACAGGATTGCCTTGGTGGGAATGGAGGCCGTCGGCGGTGAGGCAAGGACCTGGCCCTGAATAGAAAGGGAGAAAGTCTCGAGCAGGGCTGTTGTTGTTGGGAGCGGCGCCAGTCCAGCGTAAAACAAAACGACGTCTCGAGCGGGAGCGCTGGTTCTGTTGGGACGGCGGCTTTCGGCGGCGAGGAGGAACACCGCCTTGAGTACGAAACGAGGAAGCATCGAGCAGGAGCCGTGGTTTTGTCGGGACGGGGGCTGTCGGCGGCGAGGAACAGCACCGTCCCGAAGAAAAAACAAAAAAGAGAGGAAATCTCGAGCGGGAGCGCTGTTCTTGCTGGGAGCGGCGCCAATTCAAAACAGAGTAGGGCGCCAGTCCAGCGAAAAACGGAAGAAAGTCTCGGGCGGGAGCACTGGTTTTGTCGGGGCGGCGGCCTTCGGCGGCGAGGAGGAACACCGCCTTGAGTAATAAAAGAGGAAGCATAGAGCGGGAGCCGTGGTTTGGTCGGGACGGTGTTGTCGGCGGCGAGAAACAGCATCGTCTCCAGGAAAAACGGAGGAAGCCTCGAGCGGGAGCGTCGCTCTTGCTCGGAGCGGCGCCAATTCAAAAGAGAGTTGGGCGCCAGTCCAGCGTAAAACGGAAGGAACTCTCGGGCGGGAGCGCTAGTTTTGTCGGGGCGGCGGTTTTCGGCGGCGAGGAGGAGCACCGCCTTGAGTAAAAAAGGGAGGAAGCCTCGAGCGAGAGCGTTGTTTTTGCTGGGAGCGGCGCCGATGAGAGAAACACTAGCGCGCCAGTCCAATGTAAAACGGGAGGAAGTCTCGAGCGGGAGCGCTGGTTCTGTTGGGACGGTGGCTTTCGGCGGCGAGCAAGAGCACCGGCCCTGAGTAAAAAAGGAGGAAGCCTCGAGCGGGAGCGTTGTTGTTGTTGGGAGGCCGGTTTTGGCGGTCAAACCGCTCGAGCGTGAGCCTCATTTTCAATGAAAATGTAGCCGGCGCCTCGGCGAGAGCGCCAGAGCGCCTTTAAGGTGTCCAACAATAACAAGTGTTTAGTAATCGACATTCAAGAACCAAAACCAAACAACAAAAAACTCGCGGCCCAGGCCGCGGCGCGCGAAGCGCGGCCATCCTCGCGCCCCCGCGGGCCGACCTGTACTTGCTAGCTGCGAGGAGGCCGTCCGAGACCGCCTGCCGGGCGGCGCGCACGCCCCACACCGAGCCAGGCAGGCCCGGCGGGCGCCGGCCACGCCCCTCCCACGCCCCGCCCGTGGCCCGTGGGCCGCGGCCTCGCGATATAGCCTCGCGGCCTCGCGATGTAACCCCGCGGCCTCGCGAGAGCAAAGCGAGAGGAGCGGGGGCGGGGACCTGCCTACGGCGCCCCGCGGCCTCCCAAGGACTCGAATAAGAGAAACCGCCACGAGCAGAAACTTGTGGCGCTCCGCGCGGATCTATTGGATCTGCGCTGGCCCCCCCCTACCTGGCGCGCGGAGCGCGCCAGGGGCGGCGCCGGAGGCGCCGCGGGGGGGGGCCCAGCGCGGATCCAAGAAATCCGCGTGGAGCGCCAAAAGTTGATGTTTATGGCGTTAGTCCTTCTTCGAATAACAGGATGAAGGGCGGGGGCGGGAGAGGGCTGCGCTTGGAGCCACCGATGGCCTGGCCCAGAAACGGCTGCGGGCGAGGAGGAGGCGAACAAGGAGGAGGCTTAAGTCGGGCATGTCCCTTTACAGCAGGAGTACTCAAAAGTACTCAAAAAAATGTCGGGACGAATTTTGGGTATTTTTGAGCAGTTGTTGAACATTGTTTGGGTGTTTTTCATTTTTCATGTAAAATCCGCCTGTAGGAGGACATGCCCGACCTAAGAGGAGGAGGGGGAGCAGCAGCGGGGGAGGAGCGCACGAGGAGGGGAACGAGCGGAGGAAGGCGACGCGGGTGCACGCACACGAGCGCGGGCAGTCGAAAGCTCCCGAACCCCTTGGGTCCGTACGAGGGGCCAACTCGCACAGAGCTTCTTGGAAGCGTGCACAGTGTCATGGCATCCTCATCGCACTCGACGGTCGGGGAGGAATCCCAGCGGGCCCGCACCGTAAGGTCCCTCTGGCGAAGGGACACTTTTACGCGTAGACGAGACCACGGCACCGACCGCACCCGTTAGGGTTGTGGGTGCCATGACACTGGACACTCTAACAATGCAATCATTGAATGAAAGATGTGTTTCACATGTTGAACAAGTATTGGACATGTTTAAAACATGTTTCTACACGTTTAAGACATGTTTGAAACATGTTTTAGACATCTGGAAATTACTTGGCAACATGCTTCCTCTCCATTGATCGTCGTCCACAGCGCCAGGGGCCAGGACGCGGAGCGGAAACATGTTCCGCCGAGTACCAAAGTGGGCTCCCCTCGGCTGCGGCAGGCTCAGCCTTCCGCCCGCGACCTCCCGCAGGGGCCCCAGGGCCACCGCGGCTGCAGTGGCAGCCCAGGCTGCTGCGGAGCTGCCGGGCGGAGTGCCCAGCGGAGCATCGCCGACCGACCGACCGTCCCCAGCCACCGACCATGGGTTCAGGAGAGACAAAAGCACCACTGCCACCAGCTAGGGGGGCGGCCGCTCCCCCCCCTCGAGCTGGTGGCACCTCCTTCCGGGAACTTCCTGCATGCATGCCCGGAACGAGGTGCCGCCGGCTTGGGAGGGTGGGGCAGCCCCCCCCCCAGCTGGTGGCAGTGGCACTTCTGCCCCTGGTGACGGATGGTTGGCTCCGGGCGCCTGCGAGCCCCATGCCGCCTGGAGCCGCCGCCGAGACGCCCCCCGTGTGAAGAGGCAGCGCGAGGCTCCCCGGCCTCCAGAGAAGGGCTCTTGGGGGCCCACTCGAAAGATTGCACGGGATCAGTTGGGGATCGCCGAGGATCAACTGCACCTGGGTCGGGCATGTCCTCCGACGGGCGGACGGTGGACGAACCACCAACAAATAATCCAGAAAATGATCCAGTGACCAGACATGGCCCCAAAAATCATCTCCAAAAGCCAAAGAGAGCCCCAAACTTTTCCAGAGAAGGGTTCTTGAGGGCCCAGTCGAAACATGACATGGGATCAGCTGGGGATCGCCGAGGATCAACTACACGCCAGAATGGCCCCCAGGCTTAGGTCAGGCGTGTCTCCCTACAGGCGGATTTTGGACGAAATGTCAAAAATACCGCAAGACCGCTCCAAACTATTCGACTATCTCGGCGAAGGACCCAACCATGTACAGTTGTGGGCACCGCAATTGTGAATATCTTCCTCGGTGATGCTCCCTATGGGGCCACGAAACGCTGCAGTGGGTGGGGGGGCGCATGCAGGTGGTAGCACTGGGGCCGTCGGTGGAGCTCCCTATGGGGCCACGAAGCGCTGTACTGGGTGGGGGGGACGCATGCGGGCGGTAGCAACGGGGCCTTCGGTGGAGCTCCCAACGGGGCCACGAAGCGCTGCAGTGGATGGGGGGGCGCATACGGGCGGCCTACGGGGCCACGAAGCCCTGTACTGGGTGGGGGGGTGGGGGGGGCGCATGCGGACGGCAGCACTGGGACCTTCGGTGGAGCTCCCTATAGGGCCACGAAGCGCTGCAGTGGGTGGAGGTGATGCATGCGGACGGCAGCACTGGGACCTTCGGTGAGCTCCCGATGGGGCCACGAAACGCTGTACTGGGTCGGGGGGACGCATGCGGGCGGTAGCACTGGGGCCGTCGGTGGAGCTCCCTGTGGGGGCCACGAAGCGCTGCAGTGGGTGGGAGGGACGCATGCGGGCGGTAGCGCTGGGAGCTTCGATTGAGCTCCCTATGGGGCCACGAAGCGCTGGGTGGGGGGGATACATGCGGGCGGTAGCACCAGGGCCTTCGGTGGAGCTCCCAACGGGGCCACGAAGCGCTGCACTGGGTGTGTGGGACGCACGCGGCCGGTGGCACCGGGGCCGTCGGTGGAGCTCCCTATGGGGCCACGCAAAACGCTGCACTGGGTGGGAGGGACACATGCGGGCAGTTGCGCTGGGGCCGTCGGTGGAGAGCTCCCCATGGGGCCACGAAGCGCTGTACTGGGTGGTGGGGGCGCATGCGGGCGGCAGCACTGGGGCCTTCGGTGGAGTTCCCTATGGGGCCACGAAACGTGTGAGGGGTGTTCCCACTTTGGGTGTGTGGGACGCATGCGGCCGGCAGCACTGGGGGCTTCGGTGGAGCTCCCCATGGGGCCATAAAACGTGTGATGGGTGTTCCAAAATGTGCGTGGGGGACGCACGCGGGCGGTGGCACTGGGACCTTCGGTGGAGCTCCCTATGGGGCCACGAAGCGTGTGAGGGGCATACCAAATTTAGGTGTGTGGGACGCATGCCGGCAGTGGCACTGGGGCCTTCGGTGGAGCCCCCTATGGGGTCACAGAACGCTGTACCGGGTAAGCAAAAATGCCTAATTGGGCTTCTGGGGCGCATGCGGGCGGTCCCACTGTGAGCTCCCTATGGGGCCAGGAAGCGCTGAAGTGGGCGGGTGAAAATGCGAAATTGGTTTCCGGGGCGCATGCGGGCGGTCCCACTAGGGGCTTCGCTGGAGCTCCCTATGGGGCCACGAAGTGCCGTACTGGGTGTGAAAATACCAGAAGTGGGCTTCCGGGACGCATGCGGGCGGTAGCACTGGGGGCTTCGGTGGACCTCCCGATGCGGCCACGAAACGCTGCACTAGGTAATTGTAAATGCCAGATTGGGCTTCTGGGATGCATGCGGGCGGTAGCGCTGGGGACTTCGGTGGAGCTCCCTATGGGGCCACAAAACGCTGTACTGGGTGGGTGAAAATGCCACATGGGGCTTCCGGGACGCATGCGGGCGGTCCCACTGGGAGCTTCGGTGAAACTCCCTATGGGGCCACGAAGCGCTGCACTGGGTTGGTGGACATGCCTAAGTAGGTTTCCGGGACGCATGCGGGCGGTCCCACTGGGGGCTTCGGTGGAGCTCACTATGGGGCCACGAAGCGCTGCAATGGGCGGGTGAAAATGCCAAATTGGGCTTCGGGGACGCATGCGGGCGGTCCCACTAGGGGCTTCGGTGGAGCTCTCTATGAGGCCACGAAAGGCTGTACTGGGATGCCAAGTTGAGCTTCCTGGACGCATGCGGGTGGTCCCACGGGGGGGGTCGGTGGAGCTGCCTATGGGGCCACGAAACGATGTATTGGGTGGGTGAAACGCAGGGAAGGAAGAAGAGGGGGGAGGGATGAAGGAAGGAGGCAACGCGGGCACCGTCTCTTCAAAACCAGGACCCAACACCACAGGCTGGTTGGGAAAAATACCAGAAAAATCGTCCCCAAACTATTGTTTTACTATTTTTGAATACTCCTCCTGTAAATGGACATGCCAGACTTAACCCTACCCCCCCCACACACGATTTCTAAAGGGAGGTAGGGGTTCACTCCGCTCGGGACCTCCCGAACGAAACGAGCCCCCTGGGATTCACATGTGGCCACCGACGGGTCACTCCGACGAAGGGCCACCCTTGGAGATGAAGTCTTTATCAAAAACGGTGACGCGAGTCATGTTGGTGGATGGGTGGGTGGGTGGGCTCGTGACAACCAAGTAACACGCGTTATGCTTGCGACGTTGGGTGTGTACACGCCATGCGTGTAGGGCAAGCTCGTGCAGCGACGGCGTCGGCTCGGGTCTCCAACGCCGCGTGGATCGCTGAACCTGGCGCGAGCGCGGCGCTCCGACGGCGCAGATCGTTCGACGCCAGCCAGCTCCGACGCCGACGCCGACGACGACGACGACGACGACTACGACGACGCCGACGACTACGACTACGACTACAACGACGACGACGACAACGACGACGACGACGACGATGACGACGACGACGACGGACACGACGACGACGACGACGACGACGACGACGACCTCCACGACGAATTCGCGCCGGAGTCGCCGCCGCGTCGACACGACACGAACCTACCGTAGCCGACTCTCCTCCGCCGATGGCTTCCTGGTGATACCCGGGGCCTCCGGCGCCCTTCGCGAAGATGCGGGCACCCCCTGTCGGCGAGGCTAAGCAGCCTCGAACTTATCCCTATCCCTAAGATGAGCGAGCAAAAATCGAGGACAGTCTTAGGGATGTGCCCTCAAAAACTGAGTGGATCCTTAGATCGGCATCGAGGTGAGGTGATGCCAAACACAGGGAGAGGGATATGTCTCAAACTGGTAAGAGGCACAGCGGCTGAAACGCATCCCGAGGCAGGAGAACCCGCCAGAAACCGACAAGAACGTCCGACAGCCCAAACGATCCTCGATCCTTTCCGACTTCCTTTCCGACCTCCAGCTGGCCGATCCTTCCACGCTCCCGTCCTCCGTCGGTAGACAAACGCGTTCCACCACTCGCAGAGTAACTGCTCGCAAAAGGCCTGGGTCCGCCGCGGGGGATTCACGGCTCATACCTTATTAAAGGGGCCCCGGGACACACACACATATATATATATATACACACACAACTAACAGGATTCCTCATATCTTCGCATATCTGTTTGATATTCGTCTTCCCTCCCACTTCCCATAGTTGCACATATTTCCTGGGAATCGAAGATTAATCGTGTCTGTGTGTGCGCCTTTCCCTTCCTGACCTATATAGGAAAAAATGTTTGTTGTTCGAACGCTCGCGAGCAGCAGCTCTGCGCGTAACGGAACGCGCTTGGTGAGTCTTTGGACGCCCGAAATGGGTACGGAAAAAATTGGCACAATACCCAACAACAAATGTTGTCCCAAACGAACAGCGGCCGCTGTTGGGCAGGCGGCCTCCTGTCTCGAATGGACACAGGCCGCGGCGGCGCGGACAGCGAGTCCTGTTCAAAATGAACAGGAAGTGCTGTTGGGCATTATCCCCATTCTTTCTGTACCCATTTCGTGCGTGCAGAGAGTCGGGGAGGCGCCTCGCGACCGCAGCGCCCGCCGGCTGCCTGGCGCCGCAGGCGCCGCAGGCGCTGCCGGCCCTGGGCACCAGGCAGGCGAAGAGCCCCTCGGAGCTCTTCCTCGCCGCCTGGCCGCGCCGTCGTCGTCGTCGTCGTCGTCGCCGTCGCCGTCGCCGTCGCCCCACAGGCAGATCTTGGACGTGAGAAATTGAGAATGTTCAAGACACGCTCAGAACGAATCCAAAACATCACAGAAACCTCGTCCCGACATTATAGTTTTTGACCACTCTTGAATACTCCTCCCGTAGGGGGACGCGCCCGACTTCACGCCAGTCGGGGGGGCGTCGTCGACTGGCCGCCGTCGCGTCGGCGGCGGGGCTCCCCGCGCGAGCCCGAGCCGCCCGGCGAGCCCGCGGCGGCGGCGCCGGCAGGCCGCCGCCGCCGTCGTCGCCGCCGTCGGCGCGGCGGGGGCCTCCGACAGCCCTGGCGCGGAGCCCTGGCAGCAGATTCGTGCCGTGGCACAGGCCTCGGAACAAAAACAGCGAGCACTCGTGCCACACTCGTCTGTGCACGCCTCCCCCCTCCCCCCGGTGTTCGAAGTTGGTGGCGGTGGGTCTGATGAGTTGCACCTCGACCGCAGTCTCCCCCGCGCGTGCCAACCTTGAGTTTGGGGGGCAGGGGGGGTGTTCACTAATTGTTTCCCTCTACCGCAGTTTCGGCGCTGGTTTCTGACATGCGTGGATCGTGCAGCAGTGGACGATCCCTGCTTCCCGATCGCGCAAGGTCGTTCCATGTCGGCCAGTTTCACGCCACCGGCAGCATTCAATCTTGAACGCCCGTACCGGGGTCGCCGCCGCGTAGGTACCATCAGAACCTGCCGCATGCACCATGACAATCGGAAAAGGGCAGGTTCGCCACAGTGCCTGATAGGTTCATTCGTCCCACACATCGGGCCAGAATTACTCACGATCGAAGCTTCAGCCCGCTTTCAGATCACACGGGCAATGGGACGCACAACGGCCTACAGTCGGAGCGTTGACCCAAGGAACCCTAAATAAGGAACGAGGCCCCTTCTATCCACAAGCCGAACTTCGATTTCCAATCGAAAACCAAAAGAAAACCCAAGGCGAACTGTGAGGCAATCAAGGAACACGGAGCCCCTCCCCAACGAAAAGGGTTCCTTCTTCAGGGCCCCGACTGTACTAGTATCATGTGTCCTCCTTGGAGGCGTGCGTCCGACCCGAACACGTAAAACAACCATGTTGTAATACTTCGTTTCCCGAGCGGCACGGCCAGAAAGCGTCCTCCACGGAGCTCTCGGCGCGCGCGTCGCCCAGGGGGGGGGAGGGGGCGACGCACACACACGCACACACACACACACACACATACACAGTATTAGTACGCTGGGGTGGTCTCGACCAGAAGGAGGCAGACTGCACCGCTCCCTGGAGCGATCCCTCGTCGCCTGCCCCGCCCCGTGCGCCCAGGCCCACCTGGGCATCGGACGGGGCGCTGCTCGGCAGCTCGGCGCGGCGGCGCGCAGCACAGCGCCAGAGCTCAGCCGTGCGGAGCAGTTTCTTCTGCTGGGAGGAGGAGGAGGGGGGGGAGCAGGAGGAATCGCCGATGATAACAAAAGAGGAGGAGGATGTGACTCGAGCAACAGAACAGCACGGCTTCCAACCAGTACGAAGACGACGGCAACGACGACCTACAACACTACGCACCTTACGTGGCCGGCCGACAGAAACACCAATCAGTACAACGCACGGCGACACCGACTAAACACGATCCAAGCACGGCTCACGTACTCAGAGCTCAGGTACAGAAGCGCAAATAAAACGAAGTCAACAACGACGACCTTCGAGATATGAGTCCAATCCAGTTCCTACAAAGAAGGGCTGGGCACGTACAGTACAGCAGAGCCACATTACTGTTGCATGCCTTTCAGACGCGGACAAGAGATACTTCAAACTACTCCAAGAACGACTGGAAGCAGTACGATAAAAATAGACCAACATAATCTCACATACTAGCATATACAGCCATTGGGCTGAGAGGCCAGACACAATCCTATTTTAAAGACGCGCCGACTATCGACGGGACGGACAATTGCATACCCAACAACAGCACCGACCAGGACATACGACGTGAAGAGATGGTTGACCAAAAATAGGAAAACATCAACTTCGACGTAGAGCACAACAAAGTACGGCTGCGACACCCTCGGTACCACAAGGACGGTACGGAACAATCCATGAAAGGGAAACGCTGTACAAGATGTTCGCCAGCGCGAGCCCCGAACGGCAGGTTCTTGCAAAGTATGTCTTGGGGCCTTGTTGGGCCCTCCAGGGGGGCCCTCGCGGCCACTCGAAAGCCTGGCCAGAACGCATCAAACGGTACAGGGGGGATTCTGAACAGGGATATAGGCCAGACCCGCCGCCGCTGCCGCTGCCTCAAAAGCCGCCGCCCAACGCCGCCGCCCGACGGCGGCTGCCGAACGCCGCAGCCGCGCGGGCCGCCCGACGCCGCCAACGCCCGCCTGCCACCTGAGGTAGGGGAACGAACACTGACATAAACATGAAAACTCGGAGGTCCGCGCGGACTTCTTGGATCGGCGCTGGAGGCGCCGCCAGGGGGCCCCAGCGCGGATCCGAGAAATCCGCGCGACCTCCGAGTTTCTCTCTCTCTCTCTCTTCTCTCTCTCTCTCTCTCTCCCTCTCTCTCTCTCTATATATATATATGATATATATATATGTCAGCGTTCGTTCCCCTGTGACCCGCCGCCGCCGCCCGCCCGTCGCCGTCCACCGTCGCCCGCAGACGGATGCTGGGCGGCAGCACGGGCCGAGCCTGGACCAGCTGGGATCGGCAGTTCGGGCAGAGCAGGCCGCAGCGGCGAGGGCTCCGGCGGCGATGGGGGCGGGGCCCCAGCCGGCGGCATGGGCCCCGGCGGGCCGGCGGCGGGTGCGGGGCGGCCCCATAGAGAAAGCGCCGGCAAGGGAGGGAGGAGAAGGAGGGGGCGGTGGGTGGGGGAAGGAATTCCTCCGCCTCCTCATAATGTATGTCCTCCTTCTCCCCCTTCTCCTCCTCCCCCTCCTCCTCCTCCTCCTCCTCCTCCTCCTCCTCCTCCTCCTCCTCGGTCGGTCAAGCGAAGCGCAAGAGGGTCGAAGCGCATGGTGGCGAGAATCAGGCGAGAGCACCAAAGGGTGAAGAACGAAGCAGAGGCAGCAGCAGAGCCAACCAGGGGATGCAAATGCCTCGAGCGCCAGCAAGCGCAGGCCCACTCTGACAGTGGACGGACCAAAGGTACCATCGCTTCAACTTGATGGGGCTTTGCTTTGATGTTGTGTAAAAAAGCGGGTAGAAAAGAAAATCCTTCCCCAACAATGAACGGCCAGACGCGTATTGGGCCCCTGGCTGTCCTTAATGCCACAAGGTCGGCGTAACGGGCGAAGGCCGGCCGGGTCTTGACCCTGACATATCCTTCCCCCCCGAACCCTTCGCATCCTTGCAGCGGTGGACAGTCGCCGACAGCTCTGCAACTGATACATAAGTAATGCAAGAAGAAAGAGAAGAGCTGACCGCCGCAGCTACGGCATAGCTGGACTAGATATCCGCACACGTGCATGCAACAGACAGGCCATGAGGATACCCGTCACGAAATAAAAACACCACAGTGTCGCACCCTTCCCGAGCCAGAAAAACTGATTTCCCAGCCGTCCTCCGCGGGCACCAGTTTTAGCATCCCTCGCCATCCTGCTACGTCCTGATGGGCCGAGCGAGGTCGCGGCCGGCCAACCGCAACAGGCACGAGTATCGGAGAGAGGGGAGCCACAGCGCAGCTCTGGGCATACTGACCCGGTCTCCTGCAAGATGCTGGCAGCCACGGATCTGCAAATGGCAAAGGGAAACGACTTAGCATGTAAGTAGCCGAACTCTACACACCGACGTTTTCTCCCGCCTCGCACTGAAACTCGCACTGCATGCGGGATCCTGGTGTATACATGTGTCGTCGCTTCCCCGGGAAAACAGGGAAAGAGTATACACCACACCACCTCGACGCCATCCCCGACCCTCTCGAAAAAGTCCTGGAGTTGAAAAACGGCCCGCCACTGGTAGTGTAGATGCTTTGGTTTCCGAGCATGGGCAGCTGTCCAAAGCCCATCCTCACAAACCCCCGCAGGGCTTCCGCGAGGTCGAGCGCGACCGCAGAGCCCGCCGCCAAGTCTGGCAGCCAACATAGCGCTCGTGGACCCAAGTGAGACGCGCCAGTAGGGGCACACATAAAGGGAGGGGAGGGGGGGGGGGGGGCCAAACACACGGGCCCCAAGGAGAGAACGCAACCTGCGTCCTGAGGCGAGCGCCAAGAAATGGGGGCATCAGGAACGCGCGGGTTCACAGGCAAATGCGCCATGAGGGCCAGCATGCCGCAAACCTGTGCATCTGTGAAGAAACTTGGGAACCATCCGAATCAACGTATCAAGTGCCCACCTGCTCCGACCCACGAGAGCCGAGATGACCAAGCCCCAAAGATCCCCTCTAGATCTAAAAGATCCGGCGGGGGCTTGCGACCTCCAGGGGCATCTGGCCCAACACGGAAGCACCCGGCAGACTGCCAGGTCCCGCAAGGAGGGCCCGCTACTATAGCTGCAACTCGCCCTGGGCGGAGCAACGCTATTCATGCCCTTATCGCGGCAATATAAGTGAGGCCATCATGCAATCGGTGATTGGCAACGCCAATGCTTCGAACATCCAGATTAGACGTGGAAGTCGCCAACGTGTTCAAGGCGCCATTGGAAATCGCCGTCGGGCCTGCAACCCGAAAACTGACGCAGCGCATACTTGACAGCGCGAGAAGGGGGCCGGGGCAGGGACAGAAACATCAAGGGGGAGGAGGGCGGCGGCAAACCCGCCACCGCTTCGGCGTCGTCTCGCGCCTGCTTGCGGTTGCGGGGCATGGGCGGCCCAAACGAGGACCCAGCGCATTGTCGAGGCTGTCGTTCAGCGGCGTCGTTTGGCCTGCCTTTCGCTCCGTTCTGCGCCACCACCTGCGCGAGCTCTTCTCGCGCCCGCGCCAGCTCTTCGGGGCCAGGCTGGGACAGGGGGGCGCGCCGCGTAGATTCTGAAC